GCCTGTTACAGGGATAGCTTTTCTCTTGTTAGCACTGTTCTCAAACGCACTACATATTTATTGTTTATTTATATCCGCTGTCAGTGACTCAGAAGGCATACCGTCAAATGCTTCTAAAGTCACTGAATTATGAACGGGAATGGGTGTGGAAGGAAGCGATCCTGACCTATTCCAAAATACAATGCCAGTGTTCTCATAGAGGAACTGAGGAAAACCACGAACAACCTCAGGATAGTTAGTGTCCCGGGCTAGTTTCGGACAGAGCACCGCCCTAATATAAATCATAAGCTGTATTCCTTGGGCAAAAGTACTCGGTTCAAATCACCTCAGTATGAAAAAGAAAGCCGGTCACGGTAGCCGAGCTGTCTAAAGTATGTACTGTCTTCGCTCGCTCGGAAGCCGGGATCGTGGGTTCGGATCTGTTTCCTGTGAGGTACGAACTGAATTCTTATATATTATTCTTATACACTGCCGCTCACGGTAGCCGAGCGGTCTAAGGCATGTACTATCTTCGCTCGCTCGGAAGCCGGGATCGTGGGTTCGGATCTGTTTCCTGTGAGGTACGAACTGAATTCTTATATATTATTCTTATACACTGCCGCTCACGGTAGCCGAGCGGTCTAAGGCATGTACTATCTTCGCTCGCTCGGAAGCCGGGACCGTGGGTTCGAATCCCACTCAAGGCGTGGATGTTTGGTATGTGTATATTCTGTTGTCCCTTGTTTAGGTAGAGGCCTTGCGACGAGCTGATCACCCGTCCAAGGAGTCCTACCGTCTGTAAAATGATCGAAATAAAAAAAAATCTTGACACCTTAAGGTATAAAGGCGCGTCCACATTACATGTGCTCGTGTGACTCGCTATGCTCGCGAGTAATGTGGACGATATGACAAGTCACGAGTCAAGCAAATTTAAAATTTTAATTTAAAAACTATAGTCAATAAATTAAAATACGATTACAGCCCATACACACTGCGAGTAAATATACGGACCCTCACGCGCCGAAGCCTGGCGAGCAACTGAAGTAGTGTGGACGAAGATTTACGAACACAAGTAAAAGCCAGACGTGTCTCCCGACGAGCACAAGCCTGGTGAGCACGAGCACGAACACGAGTAATGTGGACGCGCCTTAAGAGGAACGGACTAATGAAAGAAAAGTTTTATAAAAGTAATACATTGGTGGGCCATAAAATACATATATTACTTTTAAAAATAGACTTTAATATGTCGTGTACGTTTCTTCACAAACCGTTATATAAGCGGAGAGTTGGAAACTAATTCTTGGAAATTACGTAAGCTTCCTTGGGCTGAAGTTCTAAGGGAGTTTGAGAGACGAACAACGACTCTTTCAAATGAGGGTGGGGGGGGGCGTTCTGTTGAGTGGGTATGAGAACATGGGCAGATGCGACTGTAGCGCACACCGCAACGTAACGGTGCCTGGGTCGTGGGGGGGGGGATTCCTGAGGGCGACAATTGTCACAATTAATATTTATACTACATTTATTTCAATAAAATTTCCTTTAACCCTTTAAAGATTCTATAACTTTACAGTTTTATAAGCTCCACCTACTATAGGAAGGAGGCTGCATCACTGTCAGCAAGTGTCAGCAAGTGTCAGCTAGTGATCTAGATTGCTGCGCCATCATTAGAACCGTACTAAACTCTTTTTGGACATATTCTCGATGTTCGTTCTGACTATTTATGGTTCTATAATCCTTCTGTTGGATTTTGTTCGGTTTCTTAATCTCATACACAGTCGACAGGACTCCTTGGATGTGGATCAGCCAGTTGCAAGGCCACTACCTACACAGAGAATAAACGCACACAGACATCCATAGCTTGAATTGGATTCGAACCCAAGATTCCAGCTTTCGAGCGGGCGAAGACAGTTCATGCCTTAGACGACGCGGGCACTGTGATCGTTCTTTTTAAAGGTAAAACCATCCCTGTAAGAGGCCGTGGAGGCCCATAAGGTTGTGAGTCGTCGAGGCTCCAACGTTTTCTAGATAGTCGACTCACAGATAGCGGTAATGTTGTTAGCCTTATGCCCCGGCCTTCCTTTACCCCCAGGAAGATTCCTGATACTCATTTCTGTTAGAGGCTGAGAGGACCCCAGCGCCATAATGCAGCTGGAAGGATTAGATCAATTGAAATAATTCGAACAAGTGATCTTCCGCCTTATAGAACTATGCTACCGCATGTTCTTAGGTTCCTCTTGCGTCAAAATATCGTCTGAACACTTCGACATATCGACAGTCTGTTGCACCTGCTCTAGCTGCTTTGCTCGCAGATTTCTTCTTGTCTTCTACACTGAAGATGGAGGCGATACGTTCATCCGAAACGTTGGTTAACACAATTTCTACACGGCTCCACATCCCAGAAGACGGCTTTCTTCATAACCACCGTCGGGAAAACCTCAAATCTTACATCTTTCAATAAGATTAATAATTTCGAAATTAAATGAAACGTTATTCATAAGTACATAGAGCTGGACACCTGTAGCGCTATTAACTATGAATTGAGGGACTTGTACCTGTAACTATGCACTTCGATCAGAGATGAGCATTGTGACAAATGAAGTACGAACATTTTCAAGGTGCGGTGTTACGCCCCTGATCTCCTGTACATACAAGCCAATATTACAAGTACACAGCTGAGCCTTTCTTGAGAAGCTGCCAATTGTGCAGCTACTCAAGAACTTGGCTTCAAAGGATTCGGACGATGTTGTATGTTGTACGGAACTGTTAGGCTTATTTTGGATTCTATCCATCGTCTGGTATATAGNATTACCGTGTTCACAAGAGCCCTCCAATGGTCCCTATACTGAGACAAATAAATCCAATCCATACCATCCCATCCTCTCTCTAAGATCAATATTAATTCTGTCCACCCACCCATGTCTTGGTGTTCCCAGTGGTCTCCTTCCTTCCGGCTTTCCCACAAATATCCTATATGCATTCCTCTTCTCCCCCTTTCGTGCCCTGCCCATCTCATCCTCCTTGACTTGATCATTCTAATTATACTTGGAGAAGAGTACAAGTTATGAACTTCCTCATTATGCAAATTTCTCCAACCTCCTGTCCCTTCATCTCTCTTCGGTCCAAATATTCTCAACACCCTGTTCTCAAATACCCTCAGTATACGTTCCTCCCTTAATTTCAGAGACGAAGTTTCACACCCATACAGAACCACACGAAAAATTATAGTTTTGTATGTTCTAATGTTTATGTTTTTGGACAACAGGCGAGAAGACAAAAGGTTCTGGATTGAATGGTAGCAAGCATTGCCCGAGTTCAATCGCCTCTTAATTTCCTCCTGAATCAGGTTTCGATCTGTTATCGTTGTTCCCAACTGTCTGAACTGTGCCACATTTTCAAAACATCTGTTTCCTATCTTTATGTCATGATTTTGCCCTGCATTTTGGTGACGAGACAGGAACATATACTTAGTTTTCTCTTTGCTTACTTCTAGACTAACCTCCCTACTAGAGTCAATTAAAGTTTGTGTGTTTTCACAAATACACAAGTCTGTTTGAATTTCATGTAATGAGGCGGCCGGCGCGAAACGAACGCAAATGCGTCTGGGCGCGTTCTGCATCGACTGGATATACCAAATTTATTTCAAAATTGAAATTGGCTTTCTTTTCTGTGGCCGCAAATACAGACACTTTACAGTTTGGCATTTACACATCTGAACGGTTTTCTGCGTTATAAAAGGTTATCAGCTCCGTCCATTGTTACTGATATTTCTTTTTCTCCTTTTTAATCTTTCATCCTTTACATATTTCGGTCTGAGAGAACATCTTCAGAAGGACATGTCAATACAAGCGGAAACTACTATTACAATGTGATTCGTCAATACATGCAATGTAATTACAATATCATGAATATAATATCTTAACATTTAACAACTATAGCGATGTGCATGAATTTATTAAAATATTTATAAATTATTATAATTAGTTTATTTACAACGGCACTATAAGGGGCACTAACCAAATCGGTTCTAAATTTTAATAAAGTTTTTTAAACCACACTTGTAAATAAACTAATTATAATAATCTATAATTTTAATATGGCCGGTCACGGTAGCCGAGCGGTCTAAGACATGCACTGTCTTCGCTCGCTCGGAAGCCGGGATCGTGGGTTCAAATCCCACTCAGGGCATGGATGTTTGTGTGCGTTTTTCTGTGTTTGTATACAGGTAGAGGCCTTGCGACGAGCTGATCACTCGCCCAAGGAGTCCTACCGCATGTGTAAGATCTAGTAAACCGAAGTGAAACGGAGAGTTTCCTGGAGGTAGGCCTAGGCCCAAATTGGGGCTGTAGCGCCACAGGAAAAAAATAATTTTGATATATTCATGCACATCGCTGTAGCTGTTAAGGGGTAAGATTTTATATTCATGACATTGTAATAGCAGTTTCCGCTTGTATTGATATATCCTTCTCAAGATGGTCTCATACCGAAACATGCCAAAGATGAAAGATTAAAAAGGAGAAGAAAACATGTATCAGTCACAACGGACGGAGCTGCTAGCCTTTCATAATACTTCTAGTGTGACACGAACCCGGATGAACCAAAACAAATTTATCGAAGCAGGTTTTCTGCATAATTGTCATCACCTTGCACTCCTCTGTACCCGAATGGCGAATGCATATTGGCCTAATGCATGCGTGCGTACATTTCCCGGGAATTCTACAAGAACAAGTTCTACTGCATTTCTTATTGGCATTTAAACGACGAACTGGCAGAAGCCTGGAAGCTCTTCATTTCTGTGGTTGTTCATAAAGAATTTGTATGTCCCATGTAAATATGTGAAAGTTATTTAGTTTAGTGACCCAACACAAACCCACTGTCTGGCGAATCGAGATGAGGTATCTGAAACATATTTATTTATGTGTTCGGCTATAAAATTGTATATATGTAACGCGTAATTATGTAAAAACGCTTTTTAGCCTCATCACTCACTCACTGTTTACCGGAATTCCCTTGTTTCATTGCAGAGTCGAATTCTAGAGGACGCTACCATAATGTGCAACTCCTGGTCTCCACGACACAATGTAGGTCACTCAATACTTACTAATTCTACAAATTAAATGTTTCAATTTATATTTCAGTCCTCCGCGTATTTACTACAGTCCTGTTATTTTCTGGGGGTCGCTGAGTTTTGTCTGCGCAGTCGCAGTCTTGGTCGAGTCCACTGGTACACACTTGCCTCTTAGAAAGTGTGTGGGTCAGTTTTCTTAGAGCTGCATAAGGGAGAGTTCGAGTGTGGAAAATTTAGCGTGGCGATACTAGAGAGTAAAAAAACATCTGTCCTTACAAGCCGCCTGTGCTAAGAAAACGATAAGGTAATACCATGTCCATCGAACAGGATAGGTAATAGGTAGTTAAAATGTTATAAGGTAAAATTGTCCCTGTGCTTAACTAATTAAGAACTACACCATGAAGGTGTATGGGGGAACGGATTTATAGATCCACGTTTTCTTGACCTCGGCACAACCTGGAGGTGATTGGTCAGTTTCACGCCGCGCCCGCTTTATCTCCAGGGTCAAAGCCCCCTTACCCATTTGGCAGAAGGTTGGGTGGACCCCAAAGCCGGTGTGGAGGACGTGGAGAAAAGAAAATTCTTAACACTACCGGGACTCAAACTCCGACCCCTTGGTCGTCCAGTCGCTATACCGACTACCGTACTCTGGCTCTTTCCCTGGGGGTAAATCGGCCGGGGTGTGAAGCTAACCATTCACCTCCAACTAGTGCCGAGGTCAAGAAAATGTAGATTTATACAAATGTTGTGCAATAGTAAAAATTGTGCCCGAGATATCAATAGATCTGAGGGCGATTAAAGGCTATTACTTCCCAATAGATCTATACTCCGATAACAGTACCTGAGTGTACGGTGTTGATTGCTGTCACTGCTCATTCCCTCTCGCGCATTTCAGAAGCCATCATAAAGTAGCAGGACAGTACATCTTTCAGTATACGAATCGTTGCAACAGGAACCGAGTGGAGGGTCAGGATTTCACTTATTTTTGTATTAATTTTGTTGAAGAGAAGAACTGGGGATCAAAGTAACTAAATATGGAGTTGTGTTGAGGATCTGTGGACATTCTGGCCACATAGCAGTAGGGAATTTCTTAAGCAACTGGATAATTAGATTCTGAAGGTCCAATGATCGAGGTTAGCTTTTTCGAATGGATAAAACTGAGTATGTCTTCACCAAAGTAAAAAACCTCAGTAATTTTGAGTTGGATAGTTATTCATTATGCTAATTAGGATTACAAAAATGGCGAAGATTCGTAATATATTGGATTATGACAGCGTAATATCCCATCTATAATGCATGTGCCATAGTCATACGTTCTCTCGCCAAGTTGTGCCAACCAAAATATTGTGTGCAATCTTTGTTTCCCTAAGCATACTATTCGCCCTGTCCTCATCAAAATTAATGATTTAATCACCCAAGTGACATTCTCCTTAGTAGGGCTGTGATGTTAGGTTAGTAAATTAATTGTCTGCCTGCTATTCAGCAGCCGTTTAAATTATCATTTCGAATATTAACAGATTATAAATAAAAAAAAACAGCTTTTGTACAAGACATTACACGAATTCTTTTGTAAATAATATTTCATTACTTTTGACAAGAATTTATGTCTAGTAAGATTTGTTTAAATATTTTTTCTTTGGTTGTATTTCTTAAATGTATTAAGAAACCATTCGCTTAGTAGATTTCTAAATATTTGTGGCGTTTGGGCCGAAGTAAATATCTTTTAAACCTACATTGTTGTATTCTTTATGATGACCCCAGTTAAAACCTGTTATAAGCGGTATTCACATCGTCTAAAATAAGACACCTATCTGTTCGAACTTCCGATGTTGATAAAATTTACAAGTGTCGGTCTGTGCTTCGAGTCAACTAACGTTGTTCCCCTCACGCAGAAAGTAAAGGACACAAACTGGAGTACTGAGCTAACAGATACTAATATGTCCCCGCACCTTATTCAGGGAACGGGGAGTCTCGGTCGGTGAAATTCATGTGGCTGTGTGTACTAATTGAATGAAAAGTAATTCTGCAAAACTTGTGACATGTATCTACCTGATAATTCTTCAAAGTACAGGCACACCACGGTTGCAAGTTCCCACGCAAACACCATCAGTCCCTGTACGGTTCATCACACCACGGTGGCAAGGTCCCACGCAAAGCACCATCAATCCCTGTACGGTTCATCACACCATGGTTACAAGGTCCCACGCAAAGCACCATTAGTCCCTGTACGGTTCATCACACTACGGTTGCAAGGTCCCACGCAAAGCACTATCAGTAAGCGGCCTCCGTAGTCTAGAGGTAACGTTCCCACGTCATGACTCGTAGTACGCGGGTTCAAATACCCGGCGGAGGTCGTCGAATTTTTAAGGGCGGAAAAATTCAGGGAACAAGTCCTCCGGGAGGGACTTTAAGCCGTGGGTCCCGTGCCGTAGCTTTACGGTACGTAAAAGAACCTCATATCTCCAAAGGAGGTCACTGAGCCAAATTAACGGACGTTTCCCGCCCAACAGCAGTCTCTAATACCTCTGGTAGATGGGGGAAGCATTATAGATACCACTCAGCTAGTAGAGCCGGTCTCGCTGGCTGGGCGGGACTGATGGTAAGCACCAGTACCGGTAGGATATAGAGACTGGTAGAAATCATAAAGGGAAGCACAATGGACCAATACAGGTCTCAGTGCATGGGGAAACCTACCCTCTCCCATAACTAACTAACTATCTAAGCACTATCAGTCCCTGTACGGTTCATCCCACCACGGTTGGAGGGTCCCATGCAAAGCACCATCAGTCCCTGTACGGTTCATCACACTACGGCTGCAAGGTCCCACGCAAAGCACTATCAGTCCCTGTACGGTTCATCACACCACGGTTGCAGGGTCCCACGCAAAGCACCATTAGTCCCTGTACGGTTCATCACACCACGGTTGCAGGGTCCCACGCAAAGCACCATTAGTCCCTGTACGGTTCATCACACCACGGTTGCAGGGTCCCACGCAAAGCACCATTAGTCCCTGTACGGTTCATCACACCACGGTTGCAGGGTCCCACGCAAAGCACCATTAGTCCCTGTACGGTTCATCACACCACGGTTGCAGGGTCCCACGCAAAGCACCATTAGTCCCTGTACGGTTCATCACACCACGGTTGCAGGGTCCCACGCAAAGCACCATTAGTCCCTGTACGGTTCATCACACCACGGTTGCAGGGTCCCACGCAAAGCACCATTAGTCCCTGTACGGTTCATCACACCACGGTTGCAGGGTCCCACGCAAAGCACCATTAGTCCCTGTACGGTTCATCACACCACGGTTGCAGGGTCCCACGCAAAGCACCATTAGTCCCTGTACGGTTCATCACACCACGGTTGCAGGGTCCCACGCAAAGCACCATTAGTCCCTGTACGGTTCATCACACCACGGTTGCAGGGTCCCACGCAAAGCACCACCAGTCTCTGTACGGTTCATCGCGCTCGATCTCACGATATGGAAGACTGGTGAGAACATTTCCTAAGAACATGACTTTTATTGGGAATATATATAAAAGAACTCCGTGACGAAATAAAGTGCGGAAGGATCGCTAAGTGAAAGGATGACTGGATGGATGAATATATGGACGGATCAGTGGAAGGATGAAGGGATGGATTGGTGAGTGGATTGACTGGAATGTTTAATGAATTAGTGGAAGAATAACGGATGAACTGATTAATGAACTCTCTTATAAATAAATATGTGTCGATGAACTGGCTTATTTAAATCTCTGTGGAAGTGATTATTGAGCAGAGATAAACCTTGCACAGATTAACACCGCATGATAAGTCACACCGGAAATGCATAGTCCGTTGCCGGTGCACAGTCTATAAGCCAGGCAGCAAGAGGAAAGCAAGTCGAATCAATACAGCCGATATTCCTCACTGATGACTGCAGTGTTTATATTGCAGCTTGTATCCAAGTCAGCCATCACAATGGGAGAACTATGTGCCAATATTTAGGCAATGTCATTATTATGCTTGATAATTAAACAAAGGCGTCATTCAAACCAATATTCTGAACCCTGATTTGCGCTGTTTAATGATATTTCATGTTCGTTAAACGAGAGGATTAAGTATTTCATCAATCAAATCTATTTTAGCCTATCATAACAGAGTAACAGGTACAGTTACTTACATAAATATGTGTCTATAGCTAGTCTAATTGCTTAGCGGCCTCCGTAGTGTAGAGGTAACGTTCCCACCTCATGACTCGTAGTCCGCGGGTTCAAATACCCGGCGGAGGTCGTGGAATTTTTAAGGGCGGAAAAATTCAGGGAACAAGTCCTCCGGGAGGAACTTTAAGCCATGGGTCCCGTGTCGTAGCTTTACGGCACGTAAAAGAACCTCATATCTCCAAAGGACGTCACTGAGCCAAATTACCGGACGTTTCCCGCCCAACAGCAGTCTCTAATACCTCTGGTAGATGGGGGAAGCATTATAGATACCTCTAAGCTAGTAGAGCCGGTCTCGCTGGCTGGGCGGGACTGATGGTAAGCACCAGTACCGGTAGGATATAGAGACCGGTAGAAATCATATAGGGCAGCACAATGGACCAATACAGGTCTAAGTGCATGGGGAAACCCACCCTCTCTCATAACTAACTAACTAGTCTAATTGCTTAAGACGAGAAGTGAAGATATTCCACGAGAACAACTAGTAGAACAATGCCTAATTTAAACGACAAATATGTGCCTATAAAATATACTGAACAACAAATCCGGAAATGAGCTATTCGATGGACTGCCTACACTTGCGTGGAATAATACGCCCTGCGATTACGGGTTCATAATAATAATAATAATAATAATAATAATAATAGATTAATGCAAGAAGTTCTGGGGAAATATTCTGCTTTCTTCTCGTTACATAATTAATATTCTATACGATATGGACAACATAGAAAACATTGCGTCCAGTATTTTTTCCTAATTTACTTGTCTATTCGTTACCACGAGATCATGTTTAGCTAGCCGTTGCCTAGTAATA